AGGTTAGAAGCAAGGTCACAGTTTCCGTTGTTAAATCAGGAATTTCGATCGAAGTCAATGATTTGTCCCGATCGAAGATATCAGCGAATACCTGTGACCTAATAGAAAGCAGAGCCTTATGGGCATGGAAGGTTTTGCACTCTGCGTGTAGCTTTATATCGGAATACTTGTGATTCGACAACAAACGATATAAATCAGTTCTCAAATTGTCGATGTTTGAGATGCTTTTCGATGACGCATTGTTCTTAATTTGTGGCATCGGGATAATTTCTTCAAATTCAACTACATCACTTCTGTCAGATATTGAAAAGTCACAGTTGAAACTAATCACATCGTCGCTAAGCAGTAAATTTTTGTTGGCCAGAAGTTTGTTTTTCTTGATAAAAGGTGGAAATTCCCATATTTTCACTTCCTGTTTGGGTTCGATGATGTGTTCCGATTGTCTGATTTCGTGTGCAATTCCTTCGACATCTAGCAAGGCCACTTTGCACTGAAGAACGTATCTGAAGGTGACTTCGCCAAATTTTCTGATTTTGACGCATACGTTTTCATCTTCGGAAAGGTAAAACGTCAACTCAATTCGCCAAGGACCTGGCACAAAATAATGCACCGGAGTTTCCAAGGTTGATAACTTGATGCTATATTTGAAAAAGCAACCACCAACACCGATTTCGGTCAAAGCAGATGTCCTGGTTGCCTTGACGTTGTGTGGAAATGAACCCCACATGATGCATCGAACAGTCAAAGTGTCTTTTGGCAAGAAGACGCTTTTATCTCTAAATATTTCATTTAGACTTTTGAAATCAGGCCAACCTAATGATTCTTTTCTTTTAAAAGTGAAACTTTCAACTTTTTTTGATAATAGAGTCGTGCCATCTACGCCAAGGATTTCAAACTCGTAACCAATGGTAACATTTTCATCGCCGCTGTCCATTTCTGCCCGGCACAAGTAGCAAGAAATGCAAATTTCGTTTCCATTGTCGATTCCTCTAGGGTAAAGATCCAAGCGCCATTTTGTTTCGTCCAATGTATCCGCTGTAAACCAGGGGCTCTTTACTCTTTCTCCACGTTTTTGAACCCACGAGCTAAAGTTTTCAATTTTCCAAATATAAGTAAAGTTTTCCTTGTCAGTTGTAACAAACGGCATGATTTTAAACCGTATGTCTTTCATATAATGCTTTTAAGAAACAATAAAATTTGCGTATGTTTTACTCTTTCATTGATATCAGTTGTAAAATGATAAGATGTATATTTATTTTAAGACAACCCGATTACACGCGTTTATATCTACTGAATTTTTCACTTATCTTTCTCATGAGACTAGATATGAAACAGTCTACATATCTCTCATAAAGGTCAGAGATAAAAATTAAATGTGGATGCGACATTGGTAAAAATATTCTTAGTTTCTTACTTAATATTTTATTCAGCCGTTTAACTGCCTGACTTTCATTAAGCGGCTTTGTGAAAAACGTGGTAACATTATGTAAAGTTTTTTTTACTATATATAAATTAAATAGTACTTCAGAGAGCAAATAATTTTGTACAAAAAGGCAATAGTTGTTTGCTTTCGGGATAAGATATGTATCACAATATGTATTTATTTATTTTAAATGGCAGAGGAGAATTGACATGTTAAAAGGTAAAAACACAGGAACAAAACAAGAGAGTAAAAAGTCATTTCCTCAGGAGCGCTCTTGCTTCCCAATATCGCGCGGTAGACGACGTCCCGCGGAGGGCCCTACAGCGCAGAATGTGGTCGCCATCCAGTATTGTCTTGATAAAATATCCCAGTGCAATTAAAAATTAAGCACAAATAAATGTATGAATAAACGATCTATTTTCCCATGTTTGTTTTTAATTTTCGTTAACGTCATTTATAATGATTTCCACGGGCCTTAGAGAATTTAATAGTGGAAATTAGCTCACATTTATGATAACAAAAACTGTTTTTATTTTCTATACCACTTTAACATTCTTACAGGGATACCACAGGCGACTATAAATGTGAATAGTGATAAAAACTCAATTCGTTTTTTTTTTATTGTTTCTTAAATTAGTAAATTGTAATCAATTTATTCACATTTAAAGCAATATCATTATTTAAATTCACTTTCAATAGTAAACTGAATACAATATGCTAAAATTGAAGGAGCTAATTTTAGAATCTTTTAATAAAATTATGAATTTAATTAATCACCACTTTTTGCTTTTATAGTCGGCTGTGGTAATCCTGATTTTAGCATGTTTTTTTCCGTCGGGATAGCCTGGTTGGCAGGCCACTGGACTCGCGTTTGTGAAAACGAGAGTTTGAATCCAGCCGGCCAAGACTCCCAGTATAATAAATGCTGACTGGTGCATGTTAAATCTGTCGAGTCACAATGTCCTCCGTGTTTCCATAACAACTCTGGAGTTATTGAAAGGATCGTTCTCTGGTTCAAGTCAAAATTACGATCTGTGGACGAATGAATGGATGTTTGAATGGGTTCACCCTATAAACGGGAGTGACGTATGGGTGTGGTGAATTCTTGACCATAAATGGGAACACTGGATACCAAGAACAATCGCACCCTCTCTACTATAATGGCCGAAGACAACAACAACAACATCATATATTTTGTTTAACAAATAATACACAGTGGGAATCATAACTGTAATGAATGATGGAGGCTTATATATTTTTTTTTGTTGCCGGAAATTGATTTTTCAATTCTAATATTAAAAAGCACTACTACTGGAAATATCAAATGTTGGCAGGTCTATCGGTGAATAAAGTAAACATTGATGTGTGTTCTGCTGATGTGTTCTCTAACAAAGCATTAAATTATTTTTGCCCACAATTGATGCTTCAATTCTCATACTGGAAAAAATTATTTTTGGAAGTATCATATGTTGACAAGTCTATATCTATTGGTGATTAAATGATAACTACAATAACGTATGTAAACGTTGATGTGTTTAAGCTCTGACAAAATATTAAATTGTTTTTGCAGACAACTGATTTTTCAATTCTTATAATAAAAAGTCTTTTAATATGAGAACTATTATTGGAAATATCAAATATTGGCATGTATATATGTACCCGTGAATAAATGATAACCAAAGTAACGTATGTATTTATCTATTTTGAATATAAAAAGAAACGGCAGTTGTCGAAACAGCTATAATGTGCGTTAGTGTGCTTGAACTCTGAAAAAATATTACTAATGTTCAACTACGTATCCTTGCAATTTTGATCCCAATCCAGAAAACAAGGGAACTCCTGTATCAAGTATTGGGATACATTTGCCTTTGTAGAGGACTTTTTGATGGAATTAACTCGCATTTGCGTTACATGGAGAGGAGAACCGCGAAAACCTCCCACGGATAGTCTGGTTTCAAGGGGAAGCTAACCCATGATCCGTCTACCACTGAGGATATTTCCTACCAGCACTTCAGTCGGTACAAGTCAGATGCGGAATTTGTATCGATCAGCAATTGCTTAAATCGAATCCGGGTCACCTACTTTTTTTAATGGTTTTTAAAAAAAATAAGCTTTAGCTATGATGAAAATGAAACAGCATAACACTTTGAGATAAATAATGCAACAGATTTTAATAATTTTCAGATATCACTTGAGTTTTTGTTTAAATAATGAACACGGTTTTAATAAACTATTAGGTTTTAATATTTAATATATTAATAAACATATTCTTTTGTATTGTTCTGCGAATTTTATTTTTAACAACAAAAAGCAAATATTACTACAAGAGTTATAATTTATATAACAACAATATCCAGACTGATGCTTGAGAGCAATAGGTACAGAGTTCAGTTCAACAGTGGCAGTCTAATTTCGATGGCTGATTCCTAATTCTTGCAGTACTTCATCAGGAGTCTTCTCTAACACTGAAAAATAATCATTCAAATTAGATAATGATTTTTTATAAATAGCTAAAAAAAATAATTTCGACGAAAGAGAACAGAAGCTCAAAAATGGAAAAGATGGAAAGATTGTTTAATAGTTTAAAGCATAAGAAAAGTGTCTCAAAGTATCAAAAAATGGAGGAATATTGTTCAAAAATGACTAATGTAAGAAAAATATTTAATAGAGAACAAAGGAAAAATGAATAAAAATGAAAGCAAAAGATAATAAAGAGGGAAAAAAAAAGATAAAGGAGGAAAGAAAATGGGGACAAAACATTTATAAAATAATAGAAAAGGGGGAAAATGTTTAAGGAAAAGGCAAAATAAAATATTAAAAAAAGGCACACGAACAAAATTCTGGTTAAAATGTACAATTGGGGGGCCTCTTGTATTGACGACCAATTTCAGTTGAAAAATTTTGACTAAACTCAGTTTCCTTTTAACATGCTGTTCTTTTCCAGCTGTCTCTGCTTTCAATGACGTCAGCATCGGGTCACCACGATTTCTGTTTATCTTTATGTGATGGGTCCTTAGTTTATTTTCATATATAGAGTCCCGGGCCAAATTATTAGATGCGCTATAAAATTCTATGTAAAATCTTAATTATCAGGTGATACTATACAGCTTTGTGCTTTTTAAGCGACTGAAACCGGTTTGCACTTGTTTAAGTTTGTGTATCAATTGGTTAAATTAGACAATATATAATATAAATTCGACGATTAGATGATGTATTATATGAATAAAGAATATTTATTATATCATGTATTATGTTAGTACATTATAATAATTAGATAAAATTATTAGACGCACTGTAGTGTTTTAGTAATTGCGCAATCTATCTAATATATATAATTCTCTTACGTGGCTCCCAAATTTTGGCTGTATTTCGTTTCCGCCGGTGGCAACAGTTTTCATTTTTAATGAAGTACTTTGTACAGCTAAATAGGATTCTTTTCACAACACTTAAACATTTACTTTATTTTCTTCATTTATATAGAGAACAGTCGGCGAAGAATTATCTTATACTATAATACGAGGAATGGTTGCCAAGTCGAAAATCGCCCCACAATTAATAAACTCCGGTAAACTTGGGGGGTCTGGGGTTTTTGGCCACGAGGAATCGATTGGCGCCGGTTTTGAAGCGCTACGGTCGAGCAGTTCGGAGTTACAGATAGGATATTTTCAAACTTTATTAGTTCGCCATAATGGCTATAGATACTTTTCTCCACTCTTATAAATGTATGCTAATGCGAACCTTACAATTGAAATATTAATTTTCGACAACTTAAACCAATAATATACGAAGGAATTAATAATTTAATTGTAAGGTTCGCATTAGTTTACATTTATCAAAGTGGAGAAAAGTTTAACTTTTGTGTTAAAATCACCGTCAACAAAGTCCGACATTTCAACATTCATCAGATTTCAAGCTACATTTTCAACATGCAGAACGCACCTCTACATGAAATTCTTCAAGGAGCCGGAATTTTGGAACAACAAGCGATCAACTCAATTCTACCCGCAAATGGACAACTAGAAGATACCGTCATTGTCAGAATGCTTCTCCATTACGCCGAACAAGCTTACCCGACCGTCAAAGTTGCCGTACTTCACCCTGAATTTGTCGCACGCTTCTACGTTACAACAGCGGATGGCGCTTATGAAGGAATGGCTCTTCTCAACGATATCAGCGACCAGAACAAGGCTTCCAACTATCTATACGGCGTTCAACAAGGATTCGACGTGCTACTCATTCCCATTCACAAGAGAGCTCAAATGGATAGAGGCGAGCACTGGATGCTAGGAATTTACGAAGCAAGCTATGGAGAACGTCAACTATTAGTCTGCGATCCAGTCGACAAC